GTCTATGCAGAGGGTGAGAAGGTGAGACTATGGGGACTCACCAGCTCACCCTGATGAATAATTTTTACCGAGGTTGTCTCCTTTTGCATGTAAGCACAATGATTCTCTTTCAGAATCATATAAATGAACACTGACACCCTTCCATTTTATCATCTTCAGTGAGGACTGAAGAGCATTTACGTAATCCCAGTCTTGTTGTGTCACCTGGATTCATCAACCCTAGAAACTCACTGCATCCTTCAGCCACAGCTGTTTTAATGCCTTTTATTTTGGTGGGAAGTGAAAGGTGCAACAGTGGCTTCTTTTGCCTGTTTATGTTGATTTCGTGAAAAAAGCATGTTATTGTTGACATGACGAGGACCATGCAGTTTAGCAGAGCACACTGAGGGAAAAGCAGTCACAACTCGGTGAACCCCTGCCATGAAGGGACAGAAGAGTTAACCCCTCACACTCCTGAGGAAGGACTTCGCAGTCTATTTCTCATAAGAGTCTCCAACTCTTAGATGATTAAGACTTTGTGATCTAGGAAATTTGCCAGTGGTGGCTGCAAATAAAAGACCCTGAGCACTGTGATGACGCTGGGGACTCACCACCCCCCTCAGTGAATTCCAGAGTGAAAAGTGTCCTATGACTCACTCTAGGTTGGTTCATATGACCAGTTTCAGTCGCAAGAAGAGAAGATAGCTGTGGGATCTTAAAGGTCCTATGAATGTGATTATGTAAATGAAGTACCATCAGCTGGGGTAATTGTAATTGTCGCAGAGTAATGTTAAGGGACTTACTGAAAAATGGAAGGTTGGGGACCGTCCCAAGGATCTTATTCTACTTGTTGACCTGTTGCTGTCCACTGCAGTCTAATGATAATGTCACTTGAGGACCTGGAACCTGGAGAAATATATGCCAAGCCTTCACTCCAATTTAATGAGTAAACTGAGATAAAACTTATACATTATAAAATTTACCCACTAAAGAGTACAGATGATGAGTTATGACAAAGAATTCAAAAGTACAGCTACTCCCAAACCAAGACAGAGCAATTTCTCATAAAATCAGAAAGACACCTTCATGCCTCTTTGATGAAATCTTTCCTATTTTCTGCATTGGATAAGTACTGGTCTGCTTCCTATTAGAATGGATTTTTTTTCCTAGAATTTCTTACAACTTGAACAGTATAGTATTATACTCTAGCATTAATTATCCTCTTGCCAAATAATCAGGTGCTTTTCCAGGTTTATTTGTTACATGCATTTAACATGTGCAGACATCATTTTGTGGACAATGTTTTTCATGGTAAATACCTAAGCATAGGATTGCTGTATTGTGTGTGTGTCTTTTATTAAAAACCACCAGACTGTTGGCCCAAGTTGTTCCATCTTGCAGACCTACTAGCAATGCAGAAGAGATTCAGTTTCAAATTTCCTCTTCTGTTTCAAGTTATAATTGTATTTCTTAAATTCCGCCATTTTGGTGAGTATACAGTCATTTCTCATTCTATATGTAATGTGCATTTTAGAACTGACTTTTTTTAAGATTTATTCATTTATTTGAAAGTCACAGTTACACAGAGAGAGAAGGAGAGGCAGAGAGAGGTCTTCCATTCACTGGTTCACTCCCCAGATGGCTGCAACAGCTGGAGCTGCATCAATCTGAAGCCAGGAGCTTCTTCAGGGTCTCCCACATGGGTGCAGGGGCCCAAGGACTTGAGTCATCTTCTACTGCTTTCCCAGGCCATAGCAGAGAGCTGGATCAGAAGTGGAGCAGCTGGGGTGCTGGCACTGCAGGCTTTACCTGCTACACCATAGCGCCAGCCCCAGGATTGATTACTATGTTGAGCATTTTTCAAAGCCATGTTGGCCATTTGTAAACCTTTTTAGATGAAGTATCTATTTGTATCTTTTAACTGGGTTGTTTGCTTTCATATTATTGAGCATAATGTATCTTTTTGACATTTTTGTATTTTGAGTACCAGTTGATACACAGATATTTTTCTTACAGCCTGTCCTTGCCATTTCATTTTCTAATACTATCCTGAGGAACAGAAGGTTTTAATAGTTTCAAAGTTCAGTTTTTCATTGCTTTTGTTGACTTTCACTTTTACAGCAAAACCAAGGAATTTCCAAGTTCTGCAGTATTGTGTTGTGGGACTTGCGCTGGTTAAGGCACAAGCACCATGCTCGTTTTTTGTTAGGTGGAGGGGTAACTCGATGCCATCCAGGTCACCAGACTCCCAGGAGCCTCACTGAGAAGACCATCTGTCTCTCTCTCACTTGCACAGGTCCCTCCAGGTCATCGCACCTGCTCCTGCTCACCAGGTGGCATTAGCACAACAATGCTGTCACTGGAGTGGGTCACTGTGGTGTTTTGCAGAATGTCAAGATGATGAATATCAACAGGTTTAATGATATATTGATCATGGTTGAAGCAGGATGTTGGATGGTAGGGATTTACAATACTCTTTCTTCTACATTTGGATGATTGAGACTGTTGTTAACAAAAGGATAATAAATATTCAAACCAAGAAAAAAATCATGATCAATATCTTTGAGGACTATGTTATGGCAGACAACGGGAAATTGATGGAGCCTCTTGGAGATAGGTGACTGTGTAGTATTGGCCCTGCAAGGTCACAGGAAACTGCTCCTGTTTACTCTTGGAAAGTGTGTGGAGCGGCTTCCACCAGGGCACAGCCCAGGGAGGCCATGGCTGTGACCTGTCCAAGATGCTCCCCTGCTTCCCAGACCTGTCGGTAGCTTGGGTCCAGCTGTGACCTATGCAGCATCTACCAAGTCAGCAAACTCAGGTAAATATGCAGTGGCACAAAGACATCTTGGATCTGCGAAACAATAAAAATAAAGAAAGAAGTGGATCCTGAATGTGAGGACCCTCTCTGGTTAACTGGGAAATCCGTTGGAGAGGCTTGTGGGGAAAAAAAAATTAATTTTCTCATCAAAATAAATAAATAAGGCAGACATGCCTGGAGTGGTTCCCTGTTCCCTTACCTTCTCCCTCCTTGGACTGTAGAATTGTCCAGAGTGGCAAACTACCAAATATGGAACACTAATACGGGTCCACAGTCTCACATGTACAGTTCTGAAGTCCATAGGGCTCTGGAAAAAAAAAATTCTGAAGAGCACAGTAGGCAGCACAGCCTGAACCGTGCAGCCATGAAGGGGCTGGCTGTATCCCTGTTGGTCTGCACAATCAAAAAGTTTGCACAGAAAGGAGTTTGATCACCAGCTGCTGCCCAGCCCCTGCTGAGGCGCCGTACGATATATGGCACATGCACCTAATTTCATGCCTCAAGTTGGAAAAGTGTGAATTCAAACACATCTGAGGCTAAGAGTTTCAGATACGAGATTGTCCGTTATTCTCAGTTCTGCTGATTTCCCTGCAAAACAGTCATTCAAGTCCACAGGCAACTCGGCAAAGATTTGAAAAAGAAGCCTAAATGTGCTATGGTTTCACTGAAATGCAGGGCTTGTGTTAAATACGAATGTGAGGGAAAAAATGCCACGGAATCTACAAAACCACAAGTAATCTAGAACCTACAACACCAAGAAGTGCCAAACAACATAGTCTAGAACGTAGACTAGGTCATTGGTTTAAATTCTCTTATGTGACACCTGTTTCCCCAGCGACCTGTGGGGTCTGAGCTGATATTGAGCATTTGGACTGTGTCCTCTGTCTCCTTCCTGACAATCAATCTGAGCTCTCTCCTCCTCTGATCGAGCTGTCGAGCTGCGGGTGCCAGAGCGGGCTGTAGGGAGGGGACCCATCTGGCCGGCTGGCCAGGGGCAGTTTGTCTGCCTGTGGGCACCAGGCTTGGAGTGTCCTGGATGAAAGTCCATCCTTAATCTTTCTGACTTTCTGTGGGTCCTTCTGGGACACTGCCCAATGCCTTAGAGATTCTAAGCAGTCAGTCAAGATTTTGGACACACACACATATGTATATAATGTATGATTTAATGTAAAACAACATATAATTGCAATAATTTGTATGAGTTACAATGTATGATGTTATGAGGGTGCTGTATCATCATGTATTCGAGTTGCCATGGTTAATACTTAACATAGTTAATACTAACATTCACCAAGTGCCAGGTGCTGTATCGGGGCACTGGATCCACTGGATCCCCCGAGGACATCGCAGTACGGCGGGTACTGCTGTTAATGTGCTGTTTGCATTGAGGACGAAAGCCAGGCTCAGAGAGGGCAGGTGACCTGCCTGAGGTCACAGAGCCAATGGGTGGTGCGCCCAGGGGAAGATGTTCTCACTTCGGTCCGGAGGGCACACAAATTCACTGCTGGAATAGTCAGGTGATGTGTGAGTATCACTTCCTGTTACAAGTTCCCATTTCTTAGGAAAAGTTGACAATTTCAAGTTGATGATGTGCTTATATTTTGTGGAGTATTACCCAGTATGTTGTGTACCACACATACTCCAAAATTACTTCGTTTCCTGTATTTGCCTCGTTTTTTCATTTGCTGTTTCTCCAAAATGCTATGAGTTTGGTTACAAGCGATCTCGTACTCTATCCACGAGTCTTCCTGAACTTACCAGGTGAACACATCACTCCTGGGAGTGAACGGACACCCGACTTCTCCGTTCACCACATCTCACCTACCGTCCGAAAGGCGCCCGGCGCCACCTCAGCAGCCGGCACTCGGCCCCTCCCCGCCGTGTGGCGACGCCGCCGCCCGGCCGGCAGCGGGGGCGACCCCGCGGCCTCCACCCGGCCACCAAGGGGCCGTCGGCGCGGGGATCCGAGCCCACCTCTCCCCCGCTGCCCCGGCCCGGGAAGCCCGCGAGCTCTGAGGAACCGCCGGGAGCCTGAGGCCCGGGAGCGACAGAAGAGCCCGCCCCCGCCGGCCGCGCGGCCCGCTCTAGGGGGCGGGCCCAACGCACGCCCGAGTCCCGCCAGCCAATGACGGCGCGCGGAGGCCGGCGGCCTGGGCGCTATGGCTCCGCCCACAGCCCGCGTCTTTGCCGCGCACTTTGCCCGCCCGGATAGGCCGTGGTAATTCGGTGCTTTGCCTTCGCCAGCTCCAACACTGGCGCCGCGAGGATGTCTGCGGCTCGCGCCTTCCCTTTTTCCCCCAGAACGTCGAGCCCACGAATACTTCCTACTCCGGAGAGGCCCGCCTCTTGCGTTAGAATCTGAGTCTCGTAGGCTCTTTAGACTGCGCGCAGCACTCCGATTGGAAACAGATCCTGCCCGTCAAGACTTCATTTCACGCCACTCAACCCTCACCTCCGCCTCTCCTGCTGCATACGGCGGGCGAAGTTGCCTCAGCTCTGAGGGAGTACTTTGTTGGTCCAGGACCGGTATCCGTTAGTCCTTAGCCTGCAAAACTCGAATAAAGAGGAATCGGCTCGAGTCTGCGATTGGACCCGCGGACATGTCAATCAAGGGATGGGCGGGTGCAGACGCAAGCCGGCGCACAGTACTGGTGGAGGCACTACCTGGACAAGGCGGGAGCGAGGGTACAGGCTCCTCTCGATTGGGCCAAAAGGGGAGATGGTCCCGCCCTCCCTACTGCAGAATTGGCTCACAGCGGGCCACACCCCCCGCCACCTTCGACTACGAGCCCTACAAGAAGTGGGGCGCCCGGGCACCTGTAAGCCGCTGTCTCCAGTTCCGTGGGAGCGAAATGCAAAGGCGCGCGCTCGGTTCCCGACCGGACCCGGCGTAGACCCGGGGATGGCGCGCGCCATCCCAACGGTGAGGGAACACCAGTAGGCGGCGGGAGAGGGGCGCCGCGGGGACCAAGTAAACCCGCCACCGGAAGTGTCCTTGGGGAGGCGTCGCACCCGGAAGTGCCTCCAGCGCCCGGCCGCACCCGGAAGTGTGAAGCTACCTTCTCTAAGGGAAGTAGTGGTATCCGGCCCGTTGAGGAAGCGGGATGACAGCAGGTGTCTCGGTTAGCCTTGTCTCAGGAGGGGCTTCGGGCGCAAGGCCGCGGTCATGTGGTGGCACATCCCCGCCTGTTGAAAGCCCTGGGCGAGTGGAGCCCTGGGGATGTTTCCCGGAGCGGGGCCTGGCTCTGTAAAGGCTTTTCGGAAGTTGCTTTTGCTGCCCGTCACCCCCGATTCCCCTTTCCCCCAGGGATGTGCAGATGGAGGCCGGAGGAGACGCTGCGGCCGCAGCCCCCGGGGGCGCGGAGGACTTGGGGGACACGCGGCTCCCCGGTGAGGAGACTGCCGCTGGTGGCGGAGGAGGAGGGGCCCCCGCGGGCCCGCCGGATCCCGGAGGTGGGGGTCTGGAGGAGACAGGTATACCCCCCGCCCCGCCTTTGCTTGGACCAGTCGGGGAAGCAGCGTGCGCCCGGGGGTCCCCGTGGACTCGGCGCAGTTAGAGTTGCGGGGAAGGAGAAGGAAGGCGGTGGGGACCTGGTGTGGATCCGATCACTGAGAGACGGGAAGGGGAGTGGGGGTGAGAGAGGGTCTTTGGGGACTTAGGGTGCTTGTCTCCACGAAGGAGCACAGGGGAGTCGGCAGGATCAAATGGGGGGGGGGGCTCCTTGGAAAGTGGTGGTTTGCAAACACCAAGCCGTTAAGTCCCTGGAGTGGAAAGAGGATGTCCAGGAGCGGGGTATCTCCATCATCACGGGTTGGCGGCGATCCTGTAAGGAATCACGTGTTAGTGGACGTTAACTGTGACCGGGGTGGGGTGGGCAGGACCACTAAGGTTGGAAAGTCAGGAGATCCGCAGATGGTGGTGGACGTGTGTCGGTGTTCGCTGAGGAATCCGGGGAAGTCACAGGCGACTTGGTGCTCGTTGAGCCCTTTGGACTTAGTGGCTGACAATGAGGTCATTAGGAATGGTCAGTGGTCATCACAGAATAAACGGGGCGGGACTTGGTTATTGGGAGTGGTCATTGGTATTGAGCGACAGAGGGCTGTCAGTGGCAATGAGGAAGTGGAAGAACATGAGGTCGCTGGAATGTTCTGGGACAGTTACTGAGGCATGGCTGTAAATGGATGATGGTGATCTTCGTCAAGGGAGACCGCGATCATCAGCAGGAATGATGGGCCTTTCAGGGAGTCAGTGGCGGCCACTGAAGTTGTGGGTTTTATTGAATGTTAACAGCAGTCATATTTGTTCCTGTGAGAAGCTGAGTGGGTATCAGTGAGACTTAAAAGGGATCAGGGATTCAGTGGAGGTGATGGCAAGTCTGAAGTGTCTGTGGAGATTAAGGGTGGTCATTGATGGGCAGGACAGAGTGGACAGGGGTAGAGTAAGTTGTAGAGTAGGGCAGGGCAGCCATGGAGGATCATTGAAGACCCCAGCGTTAGTGATGGGAATATGAGATTTGGGGGTGTCAGTGTACTGCAGTGGAAGTGAACGGGGGGTTAGGGGAGTCCTAGAAATTGGTGGCATTCACCGGGAGAGTTAATGGACATCATTGAGAATGTCAACAGGTGACCGGGAGAGTCAGTGCAGCACATTATCGATTGGAGGCCGTCCGTGAGAATAGGGGGTTAGGATAGTGGGTGGGTGGGGGGGTGCATTCAAGATGCAGATGTTAGTAGAGATTCATGGTGCCCATTGGGGGGGCTGATATTAGGAGTCAGAGGATTTAAAGGGAGATCACTGGGAATGCTGTTAATCGTGGTCGTTAGAGGCAGGAGGGTTCTTGGAAGACTTGGCGATGCAGTTATTGAAGAGGCAGTAGTTGGTCTGTGGGGTCACAGAAGTTTCAGTGAATGACAGTGGGGGTGTATTGGGCTACTGGGGCTTTAGGGAGGAACATGGAAACCTTAGTGTTATAGGATATTCTAGACATGTCCCAGTTAGTGGTCGTGGGGAATCCTTGGTCATTGATGGGCAAGAGAGATGCTTGGAGGTCTTTGTTAGCATGCAGGGATCACTGAGGGACTGGTAGGGCTTTGGTGGGTCCTTGGAGATGTGGCATTTGTGGAGGTCACGGCGGCTGACATTCACCAGGAGCTCCCTTTCAGGATCCAAGGCCAAGGATCAGCCACCCAGCCGCCTGTCACCGCTGCCCCGTTCAGAATCCCCGTCAAGCCCCTGTGAGGGCTGGAGTCCTGCAGCCACTGAAGGGAGTCCCATCCATGGCCCTGAGGGTGGCCCTGGGCCCCAGGGCGGCGACCCCAGTGACGAGGACTGGCGCAGCCAGCGGAAGCACGTGTTTGTCCTGAGTGAGGCTGGCAAGCCCATCTACTCCCGGTACGGTAGTGTGGAGGCGCTGTCAGCTACCATGGGGGTGATGACAGCCCTGGTGTCCTTTGTGCAGAGTGCGGGAGACGCCATCCGTGCCATCTATGCCGGTGAGCAAAGGGCCACGAGGCGGAATGGGGGCTGGTGACTAGGAATGGGACTGGCTGGCTGGTGGTCTGCCTCCGCCGCCGTGGGGTAGGTCTGTCTGTCTGCATGCCTGTGGCTCTGTCCAGCCAGCCTGGAATAGGTCCGTGTATGTGGATGGACACTCAGGAGTCTAATTATCTGGGGGCGGGGGCGGGCCCTGTCCCAATTTTCCCTGCTAGGTTCTGAGTGACTCCCTGGGATCTAAGTGACAAGTTGGGTACTTTCTTGTTGCCTGTAACTGTGTGTATCTTTCTGGCTTTGAGTCAGTCCTGGTTCTGTCTCTCCCCTCCCCCCGCCTCCTCTCTAACCCACCTGATCCCTTGGCCATCCCATCATGTCTCCACAAATGCCCACATTGTCAAAGCTTGCCCCCCATTCAGGCCAGGGGCATGTGTGTTGGGGAGGAAGGCAGAAGAGCCCTGCCTGACCCCTCCTGCCCCATTTCTGTCCTGCCCTCAGAGGACCACAAGCTGGTGTTCCTGCAGCAGGGCCCGCTGCTGCTGGTGGCTGTGTCCCGGACTCCGCAGTCAGCAGCCCAGCTGCGGGGAGAGCTGCTGGCTGTGCACGCACAGATTGTGAGCACACTGACACGTGCGAGCGTGGCTCGCATCTTCGCACACAAGCAGAACTACGATCTGCGCCGCCTGCTGGCTGGCTCAGAGCGCACTCTGGACCGGCTTCTGGACAGCGTGGAGCAGGACCCAGGTGCCTTGCTCCTGGGTGCTGTGCGCTGCGTACCCCTGGCTCGCCCACTGCGGGACGCACTGGGCGCGCTGCTCCGGCGCTGCATAGCACCTGGCCTGGCCCTGTCGGTGCTGGCGGTGGGCGGCCGCCTAGTGACGGCAGCCCAGGAGCGGAACGTGCTGGCTGAATGCCGACTAGACCCAGCTGACTTGCAGCTGCTGCTCGACTGGGCGGGAGCGCCAGCGTTTGCGGCAGGCGAGGCGTGGGCACCCGTGTGCCTGCCCCGCTTCAACCCCGATGGTTTCTTCTACGCCTACGTGGCCCGCCTGGATGCCGTACCAGTCTGCCTGCTGCTGCTTGGCACCCACCGTGAAGCCTTCCACGCCATGGCCGCCTGCCGGCGCCTTGTCGAAGATGGAATGCGTACCCTTGGAGCCCTGCACGCCCTCGGGGAGGCTGCCGGCTTCTCTAATGCCCCCTCAGCCACTGCCCCTGCCTACAGTGTGCAGGCTGTGGGGGCGCCTGGCCTGCGACACTTCCTCTATAAACCGCTGGACATCCCTGACCACCACCGCCAGCTGCCCCAGTTTACCAGGTGGGCCCCGACCCTGTGGGCACTTGGCTGGGAGGGGAGGCTTGTCTAAGTAGGAGGTTCAGCATCTCATAGATCTATTCACGAGAGACAGGCTGGCATGCTGCAGAAGGGAGGAGTGTGGAACGGGGCTCTTTCTGATCAAAGTTCAGCCAGCAACATGAAGGAATGCCCTATTCCAGTGGCATCTAGTGTTCCCCAGAAAGTCCTCTAATCCGATGGGAGAAGCTCAGCTTCTAACTACTGAATCCTTAAGTTCACGGGGAAGGCGCTGCTTCCCAACTTAATTGAAATCCCTAGAGTTCGATGGCAGCAGGCAGGCGAGAAGGCCCTGGACTAACCGTGCCCTCCACCTTCCTCCATCTTGGCAGCCCGGAGCTGGAGGCCCCCTACAGCAGAGAGGAGGAGCGGCAGCGGCTGTCGGACCTGTACCACCGCCTGCACGCACGCCTCCACAGCACCTCCCGGCCCCTGCGCCTCATCTACCACGTGGCTGAGAAGGAGACACTGCTGGCCTGGGTGAGTTGGGAGGTCTCGTGACCCCAAAGCTTAGGGTTGTGCGATTGGCCCTCATCTTGGGTTTTTCCGATGTTACACTGTGAATCAACTGAGATCATGCATTTTTCTGGCAAGAATCCCACAGGAGTGACACTGTGGCTTCTCTGTGTCATATCAGGATGCCATCCTGCCCCCTGCTGCTGATGCCAGCTCTGACCACTTACAGTGGTTTCTGTCACACTGCCACACTGTAACGCATTTCCCCTTTGTCGTTAGTGGATATCTGTGCTCATTTGTCAGTGTCCTGTTTTTTGCCATAGTTTTCACTCACTAATCCATTGATGTTCTTAGTCTGGCACTGGCTAGATGGTGATGTGTTCCTAACTCCTCATTGTTTTGTTATCTAAGTGATGGGGGATCTACTGTAAAGAACTTTCCCATCTCCTGTGTGTCTGTTAAATTTTTACTTTTATGTCAGTCTGGCCTCATGGATGTTTCTTTAATGCCGTGGGCTAAAACCTTTTCTGTCATTTACTTTGGCGGTGAATTCATGTCTGCCGTAGCTAGTGGGAGCCTTGGTTTAGCCAGGCTGGTCCCTGTACTTCTCTGGACACATCCCCACCCCCTGTAAGAACGCACCGCTGGAGGGTCCCTGCTCTAGTCCTGAACTCCACTGCTTTCCCAAGGAGCCCTGGTACCTTTCAGTACAAGTTAGCATTTAAAACATATGAGAACACCAGGGTTTTAAATCAAGAGGTCAAGAACAGCGTCCCTATGGGATTGCCTCTCAGTAGAGATGGGGTACTGGGCTACGTGAGTATCTGGAGGAAGGGCACCCCGGCAGAGGAAAGAACACTGCAGATTCTGTGCGATGAGACTGAGCGTACTTGTATCTGAGGAACAACAAGGAAAGGAAGCAGGAGCTGGAACAGAAGAAGTGGAGGGGAGGGGGCACAGGAGGGTTCTGCTGACCTGGTGGAGTGAAGTCTGCGTGTCCGTTTCCATTATATCCAGGGTACAGGTGTGTAGAGCTTAGAACAGGGCCCTGTGTACACTGGAAAGCATTCTCACTATTTTCCCCAGTCCATCTGTCCATAGACGAGCAAACTAAGGTCCAGAGAGTACACACACATGCATGGCTAGGCCCAGCTGACAGCCCATCGCCCAGTCTGCAGCAGCCCTGGATGGCAGTTGCTGCAGGAGGCAGTTGTGGGGCTGGGTGAGGGCAGACAGCATTGTCCGTGGCCAGCTCCAGCCCTTCTGACTGTCTTTTCCCAAACTCCCAGGTGACCTCCAAATTTGAGCTCTATACCTGCCTCAGCCCCCTGGTGACCAAGGCAGGTGCCATCTTGGTCGTGACCAAACTCCTGCGCTGGGTGAAAAAAGAAGAAGACCGGCTCTTCATTCGTTACCCGCCCAAGTACTCCACACCCCCAGCCACCTCTGCGGACCAAGCGCCCCACAATGGCCTGTTCACCGGACTCTGAAAGGTGGAGCTCCCAGACAAGGCAGCGCTGGGAGTGGCCGGCCCTGGCTTGTCCCTTCTGACTCTGTGCTGGAAACGTGGGCAGGGGTTGTGTCTGTGGCCAGCCCCTGTCTCCCTGGGTGATATGGTACGGTGAGAAGTCCCAGCCACAGATGGGAGATGGGTCGCAGCAACCAGGCACAGGGCTGCTGTCACAGCCCCTCATGCACTTCCTTCGCTGGGGGAGACCGTAGGCCTCCCTCCCCCTGCCTCTGCCTCACCTCCATTTGGATGATGCTACAGCCCCTGTCAGGCTGTCACCTCCGACCCTACTTCAGGGGCTTCCCTCCTCCATGGAATCCCAGCCCTGAGTGTCCTGGGCTGGCCAGCGTCTCTGGAGTGGCCTACAGGGGTTCTGGCGTTTCTGCAGAGCCAACCTGTGTTTGCCGCCGGCCTGGGGGTATTGTAAAGACAACGTACATAAAAGACCTAAACCAAGTCCAAGGATAGTCCTTTGCCCTTCATATACTTTACCCCGCCAAAACGACCCCATCCATGCTGGCCACTGCTAAGAAGGTGGCCTCCAGTGTCCATTTGTGTGACCCAGGACGTGCAGCACCTGCCTGCACAGTGGCTGAGAGCCCGAATTTTTACCCAGAAGGTGCGGTTTGCATCTAAGGTTTATTTTACTGTGTTGTCAAACAGAGATAACCTCTCATAGGCCTCTCATGAACATCTGTAAAGGAAGAGGGACTGGAACTCGGGGGTGCCCCAGACGCAGCACGTGCACCTGTGTCCCCAGGCCTTGGTAACCTGCGCAACACATGCAGCCTACGCAGCGAGACCCCGCCCCCGGGGCTTGTGTGTGTGCTCTCAACCCCAGCTCCCCACCTGGCCAGCATACCCTGGAGTCGGAGTACGGCCGCGCGGTCGTCGTGCGCGCGCTGCTAACTGCCGATCAGGGTCACCCGTAGGCCTTGCGCACCGCAGACACCTGTTGCCTCTCGGCCTTAGTCAACGGGTGGGGAAAGTGCACTGTGCGCATGTGCGCTCCGCTCACCCTCGCGTGGGCGGCCTCCCCTAGCCAATCATTGTCCACCGCGCCCAGGAGGCCCTGGAGAAATGGCCGGCCAGTTGGAGCGTCTGGGGCCGCTGGAAGCCGTGGAGCCGGCGGAAGGTAGTGTAGACCAGCGGTGTGTGCTGCCTTGGGCAGAGTGGGAGGAGGGAGCCTGTCTCAGGTAGTGATGACCTAATGCCAGCTGTAGCTTTTTTAAATAAGATTTTAAGACTTTGATTATTCGAAGGAAAGAAACCTTTTAACCTCTCTAAGGTAGAGATGAGTAACACGCGCACCTTCCTATCGCCTAGATTCCTGGATTAACTTGGCAACTCTTAAATATATTGCTTAAGCATCTTATAGTACAGTCTGCTTTTCTTAGAAATGGCAAGCCAGGGCGGGGAGGGATATTCCGACAAAAACCGCCGAGCTGCTGCCGCCCCCAAAAATATTAGCAGTGGTTAGCGGTGCCTCGCACCCGGCCCATGGCGCCTGGCCTCCACGCGGCTTTTTCCCTGGGGCTGACTTGTTAAATGTGACCCCTAAACCCCGACTGAGTAGATGTGGACTGGAAATCGGGCCAGCAAAAAGAAAATGTCCCGAGGCAGGGATCCTTCAGTGCGTCGCCAGCTTCTTGTTGTTGGAGAAATTTTCAGAATGGACCGAAGTGGAGGAAAGAGCCTGATGGACGCCCCTGTACCTGCCAGTCACGCTGCTTCCGAAGCTGTCGACTCTGCCCCCTTTGAGCCGCCTCCGACTCCCCTTTGTGCGTGCTCTTTGAGGCACGGCTTGAACAAGCACGTGAAGTTGCCGCCTGCCACGCCTGCCAACGCGGGCGTCAGAACCGGCGTGATTCTCCGGGACGTGAGCCTGTTCACTGCTGAAAGCAATGCGTGCTTAGCGGATAGGAGGTGTGAATAATGAGATCCTTAGCGAAATTCTTTTGGGTTAGAGCATCAGACAGAAATAAGACAAATGCACATAGATTCCATTGGTTAAGCCCCTGAGGCTTGAAAATAAAAGCTCAGTATCACCCTTTCAAATTCCTCAAAGTTGAAGTTACACTTAACACCACCTGCAGATTGGCTCGGTAAAGAGAGGCGGAGCACCTGGTACTGATAACCCCGTGCTGAAACAGCCCTTCTCCTGGTCAGAGCTGACCAGTAAAGGCATTGCCACATCTGCAGTCCCCGGGCTAGGTGGTCATGGCAGAGTCCCCAGGCCCGTGGACCAGGCGTGGTCAGGAGTGTCGCTGTAGGCCCAGCACAGGTACAGTCACAGAAATGGCCTCATCGGGGTGTATCCACGCACCCTCTAGAATGCCCCTGAGGGTTTTTTTTAAAAGACATCGGGGGAAAATAATTAAAATTAAGTCCCAAATTAATTTAACTTAGGAATTTGATTGTCAGTGGATCAGATCATTGTTCATTGGTCCAGAATGAGCTCCAACCAGCACATTTTTATTAGAGAAAAGCCAGCAAGGATTGAAAGAAACAAGAAGGGGGTTGTCAGACCATGCCGTTGTGCACAAGCGACTTGAGACGTAGCACCTGACTGGTCACTCTGGGCAAGGGACTCGCACTGGGGGGGTGATGCAGGGCTGGAGGCAGTATTTTGATTTACTGTTTTGTTTTTCTTTTAGAAACATATGAGGAGTGTGTAATTTTAAAATATAAGTTGAAATTGTGAAAGGTGTCTGAGGGTACGTGATTGTTGTTACACTGTGGTTACACACAGCGACCGGGTAGATACCGTTGTATATAGGGGGTGTACACTGGGATATCAGGGAGCAATGGGTCATGTCTGCAGTTCATGGTTCACAAACACCCAAGGGTGGGGGAATCTGGTACAGAGGCGACTGGGAGCACAATGGCCTATTTCTACAACTTTTGTGTGCATCTGAAATTATTTCAAAATAAAATATTTAAAAGGAACTCCTACTCTACAGGCTATATAGTCATTTGTAGCGTGGAATTTTTAAAAGATTTAACAGCCTTCTGACTAGCAGTAGAAAGCAGTGGAGAGTGAAGACGCAAATGGAGCTTTGGCAGGAACTGTGGCAAAGGCCAGCTGTGAAAGACTGGAAACAAGAGGGGAAATTCACATAGGGTCTGGTTAATCTTGTCCAGTGTGACTATAGGATTGGGGCCATCTTAAAATGCCCTTAAGTAGCTGAGGCTGGGGATGAAATATGAGGACACCTGCAACTTACAAACCTGGAGAGCGTGTGGGTGACCCGTGATGACTGTCAGCGCTCCATGATCTGTACCCGTAGCTCACAGCAGTAACCTTTCTACTTTCCCGTGCATTTGAAAGTTTTCATGCTATTAAACAATCACAAGTACCTCAGCTTGCTGTTATTAAAATAGCTTTCATTTTTGTTTCACTCCCCAAAATTAAGAATATTTTTAAAAAAGGAAAGAGCATCAACAGGATCTATCAGCTTGTTGATAGTGACTATGTATGGGAAAGGCAGTAGGATTTATGGTCAAGAAAAGAGAGTTTCATTTTCAATGTTGCATATTTCTGTATTTGAAGTTTCTTAAAATTACTTGGGTAAGAAAATATAAATTAAAGCACTGCATGAGATATGTTTTACTAAAGAGGTTGAAGTCACTAAGCTGGCAGTGGTTCGTTTTGGGAGAGGGAGTGAGTTGGGAAAGTGGCTGTTGGTGAGGGGAGACATCTCTTACTTTGTTTTCCTACATTTATTATTTAATTAAAATGTGAAATTAGATTACTGCATGCTAATTAATAAGGGATCTCAGGCCAGACAAAATTGTAGAAAGAAAGTGTACACACCACCACGCATTTCAACAAAATTTAATAAGCACAGGTTAAGAGCTCGATGGGTTAAGCCTCTGCTTGCAATGTTTTATTTTTTTTAATATTTATTTATTTTACTTGAAAGAGTTACACAGAGAGAGGAGAGGCAGAGAGAGAGAGAGAGAGAGAGAGAGAGGTCTTCCTTCTGATGATTCACTCCCCAATTGGCTGCAACAGCTGGAGCTGTGCGGATCTGAAGCCAGGAGCCAGGAGCCTCCTCCGGGTCTCCCATGTGGGTGCAGGGGCCCAAGGACCTGGGCCATCCTCCCACTGCTTTCAAGCTGGACAGGAAGTGGAGCAGCCAGGTCTCAAACCAGTGCCTATATGGGATGTTGGCGCTTCAGGCCAGGGCGTCAACCCACTGCGCCACAGCGTCGGCCCCATGCAATGTTGGCACCTCATATCAGAGCACTGGTTCAAGTCCTGGCTGCTCCTCTTCTGATCTGGCTCCTGCTAACGTACCTGAGAAGGCAGTGGAGGTTCAAGTGCCTGCCACACACGTGGGAGACCTGAACGGAGTTCCTTCTGGCTCTTGGCTTCAGCCTGGCCCAGTCCTTGTGGGCATGTGGAGAGTGAACCTCCCTCTCTCTGGCATTCTGCTTTTCAAAGAAAAGAAATAGCCTTTAAAAGAACCCCTGATGTTACAACATGGTTTAAATGATTGCAAAGATTTCATCCTACAAGCTTCACAATTAGCTAATATATTAAGTTACCCTTAGGTTATGCCTATATTTTAAAATTACAGATAGTGAAGAAATTAATATCTTGTCCACCGTTTTGTGATGCTCACATCCTATATTGGAGGGCCAATGCAGTACCAGTGCTCTGCTTCCTAGCCAGCTTCCTGCTAGGCCTAAGACAGTGGATAAGGGCCCAAGCACTTGGGCCCCTGCCACCTACATGGGAAGCCCAGATGGAGTTCCTGGTTCCTAGCTTTGGCCCGTTCCAGCTCTGTCTATTGTGGGTGTCTGGGGAGTGAACCAGCAGAGGAAAGATTGCTGTCTCTGTCTCTGTTTCCCTGTCACTCTGCCCTTCACATAAAATAGATAGGTAAGTTTTAAAAAAGAAGATGAGTTTCAGGGCTGGAGTTGTGGCATAGAGGATAAAGCTGCCGCCTGCAGTGCTGGCATCCCATATGGGTGCCGGTTGAAGTCCTGGCTGCTCCACTTCTGATCCAGCTCTCTGCTAAGGCCTGGGAAAGCAGTAGCAGATGGTCAAGTCCTTGGGACCCTGCACGCACATAGGGGACCTGGAGAAAACTCTAGGCTCCTGGCTTTAAAACGGCCCAGCTCTAGCCACTGCAGCCATTTGGGGAGTGAACCAGTGAATGGAAGACCTCTATCTCTCTCTTTCTCTCTCCCGCTCTCTCCCTCTCTTTCTTTCTCTCTTCCTCCCTGCTTCTTTCCCTCCCTCTCTCCCTCTCCTTCTCACCTTCTGCCTTTCAAGTAAATAAGTAAACCTTTAAGGAGAAGAAGAAGAGTTTCAGGAGTGGAATTTCTAATCCAGAGATGACTTAGGTTTTGATAATTTATTTGATAACCAGGAATTCTGAAGTGAGACTTTTGCCTATCAGATTAGCAAAAAAACAAAACAAAACAAAACAAAACAAAACAAAACAAAACAAAAAAACAGGGTTGAAACATAAGAGAACGGGAAAGAGTTCCTTTGTGGGCCCCAAATGGGTAGAAGGCAATTTCATCGTATAAGTCAAATTTGACACTATACATACCCTTTGATCTAGCAGGTCCCTCCAGGTTGTAGGTGTGTGCAGTGGATACGCCCTGATGCAGACGCAAGAGGAAAGTGCAAGGGGGTGAACTGAGCTCAGCTGTGTCCCTCTCCCCTCAAATTCATGATCACCAGAACCTCAGAATGTGATTTGGCAGTAGGGCGTTTGCAGGTGTAGCTGAGGAATATAAGGTCATACCGGATTGGGGTCATAACTCAGTGACTGGAGTCCCTGTAAGGACACACAGATGTACACAGAATGTCATGTGACGGCGCAGAGAGGGAAGTCCTTGTTTGTGATTCTTTGTTACAGCACCTGGAGAAAACAAATACAGACATCACTGTGGCATTGCTATTAACAGAAACAAAAAGGGAAACCCTCTAAATATGCAACAGTAGGCAATTGCGCTTACATTGTGGTCTGTGCAGTGAAACTCTTTGCAGCCACTGAAACCAGGAAAAAGGTCACCCGAGTACCGTGTCAAATGAAATATACAAGACGTGGGCCTCTTCTGTGACATGCTACCAGGCACACAGGAAAATGAGACGTATGCTTACAGAGGAATTGAGCCATGTCCTCATGTCCACAGAGAGCTTGTATTTCTAGCGGCTTCTGAGGAGGGAAAGTGGGGAACTTGGAGTCTAAGGGACACATGTGTCTCACAGTTCACCGTGTCTTCTTTCATATGTTGGCCGTCAGATATGTTTTGTGAGATGCCTTTCATCTTGTGCTCACTGGGATTTGACCTTTTAACTCATTTTCTTAATGTTTACCTACTTGAATGGCAGAGTGACAGAGGAGAGATGGAGAGACACAGAGAGAGCCCTTCCATTTTGCTGGGTCACTCTCCAAATGCCCCTGACAACTCGGGCTGGGCCATGACAAAGCCAAGAGCCAGGAACTCGATCGGGGCTCCTATGTGGGTGGTCGGAGCCCAAGTCCTGGAGCTGCACTTAGGGAGGGTGTGTCTGCGGCACCCACAGGGGCCCCTCCCACACGGGGTGGACCTTTCCACCATCCCTTTCGTCCTCACTGGTCCTGTAACTCTGGTTTTCATCTCCACAGGACCAGTCAGGTCTTCGAAGAAGACTGAAGACTTGGTGACGATGGTGACAAAGCTGCAGAAAGGTCACGTGTCTCCTGTGCCTGAGCCTTGGCCTTAGGTTTTGAATCAGACAAACGTGGTTCAAACCCAGCCCCCTCAGTGCCCCATCTTGGGGAGATCATCCCATGGCTTTCTCTCCCTCTTATCCAGCTTAGTTATCTGAACCAAAAATATAGCCCTGCAGTTCAAAATTCAAAAAATGTAAAGGGTTGGGGAAACCTACCCCTACCTACCTATCCTGCCTGCACACACACACACACACACACACACCCAGTCATCCACATCTCTGAACAAAAGGCACACAATAACTTTAAATTCTGAAGCCTCTTTCCAGAGATTAAAAACAAAAATGCCTGGGGGTAAAGTCGTCGTCCTCCCTTGTAATATACAAACAGCAGTGCACGTGGCTTTGCGCCTTGCTTTGCTTGTTGAGAAGGACTTGGGAGCCAAGTAGCATCCAGTCCCACAGCAGGGCTAGGGCAGTGTCCTGGCCTGGTTTGAGGTGAGTGGCTGTCCCTTAGAAGGGACCCCCACTTCCTCCACGCTGGCCGCGTGCAGAAGAGGTACGTTGGGCCTACCGCCCAGCTAAAATTCTCTAGCATCAAGTGTGATGTACAGAAATTGCCGGACTGGAAATGAGTAGCGACCCGACCACCTTCTCCAGTAGAGTAAAGACAGCTAGGAGTGTCCAGCCATCTTTATCAGCGCTGTGGAAAATGCCTGCTGTCTGCAGGTCACAGGAGCAGAAGGTGGTGACCCTGGAGAAGCACCGGCCCAAGTTCATTGGCTCCACAGTGTCTCAGGGGCACACAGCCTCTTGCTGGAGCTCTGGGTTGTCAGTCTTGAAGCCAGGGAGGGATGAGCAGGTGTCTCCACGTGTGCCCTCTGCCGGCAGTGGATCTACTCACACTCTGCAGTCCCCGGATTGCAGAGCCTGCCTCCTGGCCTAATTTCCGTATCTCAAGAATCACCTTTTACCCCCTTGCTCTTTGACACCTGCCCTCACTTGAGTTCCCCTCCCTGCAGTTACCGCTGCACAAATGGACTCTGTCCAAGTCCCCCACCCAGACTGCAAGCCCAGCAAGGGCCTTGTACAGAGCGCAGCATGCAGCAGGTGCCCAGAGCCAGAACCGACCCCTCCTCCACCTGCCTTAGCCACCTGGCATCTCTCTTGGCTCAGTCTTTCCCGTTCTCCTCAGAAGGGAGCTTGGAGCCCCAGATCGAGGACCTGATTAACCGGATTAACGAGCTTCAGCAAGGTAAACTTGGGGACCTGCACTGGCCAGCTGAGGTCAGCAGGAAGAGGCCAGATGGGGGATGCCTCTGTTTCCTCATCTGTAAAATCCAGGCCTCCCCCGGGGTTACCTGGGGACAAAGGAGCAGTGTTCTTATCTGCAAGCAAACAGCAAGGCCTGAGGCTGCACTCACACGGTGGCTTCTTCCCTTCCCTGACCCAGCTAAGAAGTCCAGCGAGGAGGTGGGAGAGGCCCAGGCTCTCTGGGAAGCCCTGCGCAGGGAACTGGACTCCTGTAAGTGGGGCTGAACTTGAGCTCAGTGATTCTGTGGCCCCTGCTGATGTTCTGCAAATTCCTCCCAACCTTCACACAGGCAGTTCCCTCGCCTGCACTGCTGTCGGCCAGCACCATCTGACTGCTTCCTACTTTCCCGTCACACTCTGGCCCCCAGTTCTCACTGTATCCTGACAACCCTGCCTTGACAGTCTCATCGCAAAGCAGAATCCCGTCCTCTTTCACTCTCGCTCCCTTGAGTTCCTTCACCCTGACACGATGCATTTCTTTCTTTATGGTCCTCTCCCCTCAGCGGAAACCTTGCATGTTTTTTCTGGGTCTTGACACCATTCAGTGTGGGAATGTGTGTTTGGGAAGGGGGTGCAGGGGCAGGATTGGGTTGAGGGGGAGAAGCTGGTCAGGGTGCTCCCTGGCAGGTGGGTGCAAGAGTTGCAAAAATGCATCTCCCCTCCCCTGAGGCTGCACCACGCCTTCTTTGTGACTTCTGCCATTGCAAGATGTGACTCTTGGGGGCTGAAGGTGTCTTTGTGTTTTCCAGTGAATGCAGAGAAAGCGCACCTAGAGGAGGTCTTGAACAAAAAGCAAGGTACTTCCCAAGTTGCTGTGTCTTCCTCGTTGTGGTACTCCCAGGGCAGCCAGAGAAATCCCACTACCTCTGAGTCAGGGCGCTCCCCTGAACGCTCAGATCTCTCCCTCATTTGGAATAAACCCCCAGCGATGCCCCCTCCCCACCCTCCCGTGCCCCCACGACGGGGCCGCCTTTCCTCCAGCAAACCCAGCCTTCCTGGTTCCTCTCTGCACAGAGGCGCTGTGGATGCTCCAGCTGCACTGCCAAGAGAAAGAAAGCGAGGCTCAGAGGTAGCAGCGTCGGCCCCAGCCCTTCCCCGACCCCGCCAGCTGGGAGGGGGAGGAGGCCCGAGCTGGGGGAGGGAATCCCGGACACGCACCAACCAGTGTCCTCTTCTGTAAACTAGGACAGCCAGACAAAAAGACCCTGGGTGCTGGTATTAACCTTAATCCACTCGTTGAATCATTTCTGATTTTATCAACCGCCGCTGGCATATTCTAACTCATACCTTGTTGGCCGTCCAGCTTCCCTGCCATCCCTTCATTTATCTACCTGTCCATTTTAGGCCTCAGTCATCCATTGCCCCAGCCACCCATCAACCCACTCATCCTTTTACCTATCCGGCTATCTAATCACATCTCCAGTCCAGGGAGCATCATGCAGGCATCCACCCGTCCTTTAGTTCTCCATCCAGCCGTCATCCATCACTCATCATCTCCCTCAACAGCCGCATCTTCAGGCAGCCACTCACCCACCCAGTTAACTGTCCATTCCACAAAGCAACCGCTTGTGTTTTTTGAACGTTCCTGTGACCACCAGAGGTGTCACACCTTAATAACCAGTGACTGTGTGTGCAGCAAACCTGTTGGTGAACAGTCACTGTAGGCGAGTGCTTACCCACTCATCACGCACTGAAGAGCATCTGTGTTCATTTACATTTCATGACACGAGCACCGTAGTGTGTGGTGACACAAACTGAGAAGGCTACAGGGCCGCCAGGCAGTATGACTTGAAGGGCCCCCTGATGCATATGCTGCTGGCTAGCCAGAGTTCACACAGCACATGACTGTGTTCTCCTGCTCATCAGAATAGATGAGTTAAGGGCTAATATCACCCTCCCGGCACCACGGCCAGTGTGTGTCGGAGGAAGCAGACCCAGAGTGGTTAAGTAAATTGTCACAATCACAGAGAAGGTGCAAATCGGGGCTGGAAGCAAGGACTCCATTTAGAGTCCACAAGGCGATTCAAATGAATCCTGCACAGAGCTTTCTCGAGAAGGCACAGTTTGATGGGGGACAGGACGGACATGATGACAGCCACTGCAGAGGCCGCAGAGGCCGGCGTGGGAGGGGTGAAGGAGTTGGGTTACTGTTACAGAGAGACCCCCCCCAGCCCTCAGTCCTGCTGGCGGGAGTGCTGTGGCCATGAGGAGGCAATGACGGTGTGTGTGTGTGTGTGAGAGAGAGAGAGAGAGAGAGAGAGAGAGAGAGAGAGAGAGGCCTTCTCGTGCTAGGCAGCCCATGGTGTGGGAGTGCTTGGAGCTGACTTCTGTCGAGAACTTGCACATCTCAGGGAGTCAGAGGAAGCCGGGCAGTTGCCAAGCCTGGGGTCCAGCGGACCACTGGGTGGCGGGTGGGGGTGGGCCTGCATCCGGGAGTTTGTTGAAAAAGGAGCCATGGGGGAGGGGTTAAGACCCCTGACCGAGCTCGCAGTCGAGGCAGCACTGGAGCAGGGGGCAAGCATTTGAAGGCTTGTGCCAGAGACGCCCCAGACCTGCCAGGCGGTGCGTGGGTTTCGCCTGCTTAGTTCTCTGACTCCTGGCTGTCTGCCCCCAGATTGGATGTCCAAGGCCAGCTGGACGATGGCATGGGCCAGCACAAAGACCTCTGGGAATTCCACGTGAGCCATCATCATTGCCTGCAGCCAGGGCCGCTTCTCCCAGCTCGAGTGCCTGCACTGGCTGACCCGGTGCCCAGCCCAGTTCTGGTCCTGTGTCTCATGGGAGACTTCCTTCTCTCCCCCGCCTATTCCTTCCCTTGGGTTTTGCATCAGACCTGGCCCCCTCCCGCCACCCTCCATGGCCTCGTGCAGCATTGTCTGCTGAGAAATGCCGGGAAAGCCACAGGCAGGTCATTTGTCCACTGACCTGCCTGAGGCTGCCGCGGGCGGCCCTGCAGGCGGGGGGAGGCAGTGGTGACCCCAAAGGGCTGAGGCTTTGACATCCAGCCTGAACGGGGGCGGGGGAGGCATGATACCCAGACTGCAGTCAAGAAAATGAGTAGCTCGATGGGGCACGGAGAGCACACTTGGGGAATGGGCCTGCAGCCACAGTGCAACTTGCACAGCGAAGGAAGAAATAATGTGCAGACTTGACGAGAAGCGTGGAGGGGCCCGGGTAGGCCACAGACACTGACAGGCCTTCGGGCCTCCTCTTGGTCCTCGCAGATGCTAGAGGAGAGACTGGCCCGGGAGATCGGCGCGCTACGGAGCAGCCAGGAGCAGCTGCAATCGGAGCGTGAGACCGGACGCGAGGGGGCGTGCCCCAGGCCCCGCCCCTCCCCGACGCCCCGCCCTCGGGCCCCGCCCCCGAGCCCGGCCCTGACGCCCCGCCCCTCCCTCGCGCAGAGTCGCAGGTGCGCGCCAAGCTGCAGGAGGTGGAGCAGCGGCTGCGCTCGCCGCCCGAGGCCCGGGGTCTCCCGGCTGAAGACGACGGGTGAGACGGGGACGGGGCCCTGGGCAAACGGGGAGGGAGCGCCCGCCTTCCTCCTCCCTCTGCTCTTCCCCGCAGGCCGAGGGCGGAGCTGGAGAAGGCTCGGTTGCAGCTCTCTGCGCAAGCCCAGCGTGCCCGCGAGGCCGGGGCCGGCGACCGGGAGGTAGGGCTCAGGACGTCCCCGTGGGGCAGGGACAGCGGCTGGGCGCAGGCGGGGGCGCCGGAGAGCCGGGCCCCTCGCAGCCTGGACGCTCACTGCCCGCAGCCTTGCGCCCCACTCGCCAGCGCCCGCCGCGAGGAGGACCTGGAGCCGCCCGGACGCCCCCCAAGGCCGATGGGACCCGGCGCTCCCTACTTTCTTCCAAGGACAGCCAAGAAATAAAGGCGATGATTCCGGACCCCGCTGCGCCCCCGTTGGTTGAGTCTGTTCCTGGGCAGCTGGGCGGTCGGGCGCTCTGGACAGGGCTCGCCGCAGGTGCGCAGGGGCAGTACCTGATTACCATGGCCTGCCTCCCGGTCCGCACCTCGGGGCGGCGAGCGCACGCGTCAGGGACCCAGGTCAGGGCGCGTTTGCGTGCTCCAGGGACTCCCAGCCTCGCCCACCCGCCCCATTGCCCGCCAGCCCGCGCTGCCCGCACGCATTGCGCCCCGCCGCGGCCCGCCCCTCTCAACCTCGCTGGCGCGCGGTCCTCCAGGGCCCTCCCTGGGTGCTGAGACTGGAAGTGGCCGGCGGAGCGACAGGCTCCGAGGTGAGGCTGCCCAGAAATGTGAGGCGGGGAGGGGAGGGAGACGACGTCAGAGAGCTGCGGAGACCCAGGCGGTTTATGCGTTAGCCTGGGGTGGAGTACCCTGCGCGGAGGACGTGGCACCCGCGGAAGTTGAGACGTGTGTCCCTTAAGTGTGCACTGAATGGTTCATATCATGTTTTATTCTTAGTTATTCCAAGGCTACAGGTGAGGCACACCAAAGTGTGTATTGCTTTTAAATTTTTTTTCAGATTTATTTATTTATTTCAGAAGCAGAGTTAGAGACGGAGAGACAGAGAGATTTTCCATCCGCTGGTTCACTCCCCAGATGGCTGCAACCGCTGCAACTGTGCCAATCTGGAGCCAGGAGCTTCTTCCAGGTCTCCCACACTAGTGCAGGGGCCCAAGCCATCTTCTACTGCTATCCCAGCCCATAGCAGAGAGCTGGATGGGAAAAGCAGCAGCCAGGACATGAACCAGCACCCATATGGGATGTGGGATGCCGGCACTGCAGGTAGAGGCTTAGCCGGCTCCTTAGTGACTTATTTGAAAGTCAGAATAGAGAGAGGGAGAGACCGAGATCTTCCATCTGCTGGTTCACTCCCTAGATGTCCCCAGCAGCCAAGGCCATGTCGAAGCCAGGAGCTTCATCCCAGTCTCCACATTGGTGGCAAGGGCCCAAACCCTTGGGCCATTTTCTGCTCCCCTTCCCAGGCCGTCAGCAGGGAGCTGGAGTGGAAGCAGAGCAGTCAGGCCCGGAACCAGCATGTGGGATGCCGGTGTAGACGGTGGCCTTACCTACGCTGGCCCCTGTATCTTATCGAGATTTTCATACAGTAAATGCGCAGTCAGTGCCGACTTTCATTATGAGGCTTGTTAGTCCCGTTTGGAGACGAGACAAATGGAGGTTGTATATACAGGTGGTACAGTGAGCTCAGCAAATGCTGGGTCTCGCCATCGTTACCCCCATTCCACGGAGACTCCCAGGGATCTTCAATGCTAGGGCCACTGCTCACAGCCCAGTGCCGCAGACTCCAGTCCCCCAAGGCTTCCAGGAATCTTTAGGGAATCTCACCCTCTTCATCATCCTCTCTGTGTCTCTGGCATAGGGACAGCCTCTGTTTATGGCTTGGTGACCTTGGTAGGTGAGTCCTACCCTATACTGTGTTGTCCCCAAACAGGCCACTTCTTATTATTTCTAGTCTAAGCATTACCAAGTGGTGACTGTACTGGGGGAGGCATGACACTGATCTAAATTGCAGGAGACTAACAGGTCTAAGCAGCCAAGTAATAGATGGAATTTAAAAAATGGTCTACCAGGATGCTCCTAAAACTTAAAGGAAAAGGGAAAAAAAAAAACTTCCTTTATAGAAGAATGATAGCTAGGAGTAACTGAGGAAGGAAAGGTAGAAATTAAGCATGAGCCTTCTAGGAGTTGCACTGTGCCCCAGTGGGTTAAGCCCCTGACTAACACTGGCATCCCATATCGGGACGCTGCTTCCAGTCCTGGCTGCTCTACTTCTCATCCAGCTCCCTGCTAATGCACCTGGGGAAGCAGCGAAAGATGGCCCAAGGGCTCGGGCCCCTGCACCCATGTGGGAGACCGAGGTGGAGTTCCAGTCTCCTGGCTTTGGCCTCACCGGGCCTGGGCAGTTGTGGCCATTTGGGAAGTGAACCAGTGGGTGGAAGACCTCTCACTCTGCTTCTCCCTCTCTTTCTGTCACACTGCTTGTCAGATAAATAAGTAAATTATTATTTTTTTAAATCACCATCCTGTAATCCAGAATGAAGTAACTGACTCAGGCATGAGTGGTTAATAGATGCTCTTACCACAGGGTGAAAGGCCATTGGTGGAAGGGTAGTCACGTGCTTTCAAGGTTTGCTTCTGCAGTGTGTTGACGAACTCTGGAAAAGGGATGTGCCCTCCCCGTGGAGGGATGGGGGAGTGTGATGACCACCTGGTCCAAAGGCCAAGCTTAGCATCCCCAGTGGCCGGCCACACAGTTTGACCTTCTGCAAGTTTGACCATGTATTCTTCGTATGTTGAATGTCTTGGGATTATTTGGAAAGATTTCTTTATTTGAAAGAGTTACAGAGAGAAAGGAAGAGGGAGATCTTCCATCTGCTGATTCACTCCCCAGGTGGCCCTGACAGCCTGGGCTCGGCCAGGCTGAAGCCAGGAGCTTCATCCTGGTCTCCCCTGTGGGTGCAGGGGCCTGAGCACTTGGGCCATTTCCGCTGCTTTTCCCAGGCTATTAGTGGTGAGTTGGATCGAAAGTGCAACAGCTGGGACACGAACCAGCACCCACATGGGATGCCAGCATGCAGGTGGCAGCTTTAACCACACCCCTGCCCTGTCTTTACCCATTACGCCACAGCCCCTGCCCTGTCTTTACCCACTATGCCACAGCCCCTGCCCTGTCTTTTTTTTTTTTTTTTTTGACAGAGTGGACAGTGAGAGAGAGACAGAGAGAAAGGTCTTCCTTTGCTATTGGTTCACCCTCCAGTGGCCGCCACGGCCGGCGCGCTGCAGCCGGCGCACCACACTGATCCGATGGCAGGAGCCAGGTACTTCTCCTGGTCTCCCATGGGGTGCAGGGCCCAAGCACTTGGGCCATCCTCCACTGCACTCCCTGGCCACAGCAGAGAGCTGGCCTGGAAGAGGGACAACCGGGACAGAATCCAGCGCCCCGACCAGGACTAGAACCCGGTGTGCCGGTGCCACAAGGCGGAGGATTAGCCTAGAGAGCCGTGGCGCTGGCCCCTGCCCTGTTTTACCCAGAGTCTTGCTGCAAGTGTTGAGCTTTCATCAGAAGGAAAGGGACACAGTGAAAAGCCCTGTAGAGCACTTGCCTTGCAGACCTGACTTGGTGTCAGGAGGCCGGTGCCTTAGCTTCCTGTTGCTGCTCTGACAGGTTACTGCAAACTCTGCGATCATAGTCCCACATCGCCGGGCACTAAGGGCAGGGTGTTCTGGTTGATTGCGGGGAGTGTCTATTCTTATTTTTGAAGGTTCTTTGGGGTCCTTCACTCACTGCTCTGCTCACATCTCCTTCTCTTGTGATTTCGTGAGAGCCACCCAGGTAATCCAGGAGAATGTCTGCATCTCGTGCTGTGTAGCTAAGTCATAGCTACCAGGTCCCTGAAGGTCTCTTATTTGTAGGTTCTGTGGATTCGTTTGTGAACGTCTTTGCAAGCTGTTATTCTGCCTGTCTCCCTGGGGGAAGATGGTTCATGATACTTAGTTGAAACTTGGGTAATGGCTCACGGGAAACCACTATGATGGACATTTTGAGGACTTTAGGAAAATTTAAGAATGGACTGAAATTTGGATGATGTTGAATTAATGTTAACTTTCTATGTGTGGTACTGGAGATGGGTTTGTTGGTTGGAGAATTTTTTTAAAGATGTATTTATTGAGAGGCAGTGAGAGCGGTCTGCAATCCACTCGTCTGCTCCCCTAATGGCCAGAGATGGGCCAATATGAAGCTAGGAGCCAGGTGCTTCCTCTGGGCCTCCCATGCTGGGTGCAGGGGCCCAAGCACTTGGGCCATGCTCTGCTGCTTTCCTAGGTGTATTAACGGGGAGCAGGATCAGAAGTGGAGCAGCCAAGTTTTAAACTGACTCCCATATGGATTCTGGAACCACAGGCAGATGCTTAACCTACTACTAATTTCTCAAATGTAACTGTAACTTTGCACCTGTTAATCAACATCTCCTTGTCACCCCTTTATCCTACCCTCCCCAGCATCCAGAAAGCTTTACATTATACCTCTGAGGGTGACTGTTTCACACACCATATGTGAGGAAGATCACGCCATCTTCCTGTGCTGGTTGATTTCACTTAACGTCTTCGAAGTTCATCCGCTTTGTCACTCGTGGCTGGATAGTATTCCGTCATGTATCTGAACCACATTTTCTTCATCCAGTTATTTGCTGATGGACACTTGGTTCCATATCTTGACTATCGTGGAATGTTTCATGACATTGTACCTGGCAGTGATTTGAGGGATAAGACCCCAAATGGGCTGGCACCACGGCTCACTAGGCTAATCCTCTGCCTGCGGCTCCAGCACCCCTGGTTCTAATCCCAGTTGGGGCACCGGATTCTGTCCCAGTTGCAACTCTTCCAGGCCAGCTCTCTGCTATGACCCGGGAAGGCAGTGGAGGATGGTCCAAGTGCTTGGGCCCTGCACCCCATGGGAGACCAGGAGAAGCACCTGGCTCCTGGCTTTGGATCGGTGCAGCATGCTGGCC